TTGATTGGTTCACATTATATTTAAGTGACAGAACACAATGCGTTAGAATAGAAAATTGCTGCAGTTGCTATAAAGATATTAGTCTGGGTGTACCTCAAGGTTCAGTTCTGGGCCCGGTCCTGTTCTTAATTTATATAAGTTCACTTTTCAGACAGGAATTTCGTGGTAATTTAACAGCCTTTGCTGATGACGCTGCTTTGTCTTATTGCTGTGATAGTCGTCTGAACTTAGCTAGTTATATTACTAATAAATTACACGTTTTTCGTAATCGGTTTACTGAGCATAAATTAATCGTAAGTGATGACTAAACTAATGTTTTTTAACCTCACTAATGTTACTTAACCTCACGGCAGGACAATCCTGATATAGATTTTTTTTTCATGATTCTAATTGTAGGCGTTTTGTTGGGAATAGGGTGCTTAATGTGAATTCAGGTGATACTTTCATTTGAATAGATATTCTCATAGCATAGAACTGTTTAGATCTTTAAAAATTCTTCTGGCTAGACAGCTATATTATTACAAAGTATTGAAGATTTTTTTTCGACAGGTGGCTATCTTAATAGTAGGATTTCTTATGCCTATGGTTCTTTGTAATTACTTCAGCATTTCGAACTACAAACTATCGAAACTTTTATGGCATTGTGCCTTCGCGTTTGTTAAATATGTTACCTAAATCAATACGTTTACTTAGGCGTAACAACATTTTCCTAACTAAAGTAAAATATTGGATTTTAAACTTTGACCACAGCGAAATTGAGAGTCTGTTATTAGCTTTAGCATAATCATATATAACATTTTGTCCATATACCACTATTTCTTGGTTTGGTTTTTTTTAAATACATATGACATTAAACACTGGTTCCATAAATTATTCAATGGCTTTTCTTATTCTTCTATTTAGTATGTATATATTACAATTTAATCAAAATTGCTTTTTTCATGTATAAGAAAAAATATTAATGTAGTATGCAATAATTTATTGTCACTTATCATATTTTTCTCATAACACACAACATCAGCAAATGTGATTCTAATGAATCTCTCTCGTCTGATACTACTTTTTTAATACGAATAAATCCACTTTTCTGGTGACGATTATTTCAATTTGTTTTATAAAAATATAAGAGGCTTACGGGCAAAAACAATATATTCTTTATTTTCATTCGATTTAGTTGAAGTTAATGCATCGGCTGAGAATTATTTTATCCCATACGCCAATTTTTAAATTGAGTATAGGGTAATGGGTTTTCAAGCATGCCCTTTTCAAATCTGCAATCGATTTTTTCCTATCTCTTGCCGTTTTCAAGATACAGAGTTTCATTTTATTCCATATCCACCCATATTTCCGTTTTGTCAGCATAATTTTATGCCAAACGCCATTTTTGAATTTTTTTATTACATATCCATAAATAAATGAGTTTTTTTCTTTTTGTAATTATAATATTCTGTATCCACCGCCATACACGTGTCCGGATTTAAAGTTTCGAAGTAAGTTGAGAATTATTTTATTCCACGTTCCTGGCTTAAATGAGTTTATATTGACATGGAATAATATAAAACTAAATTCATAAAATTGTTGTGATATTCCACATTCATATAAAATGCATTCCAAAATAAAAAATAAAAAAGTTACATATTGTGTCCTATGGACTGAAGCACATAGTGGCAGATCCGCCAATGAGATTTCTTCGGCTTTAATTAAAATTCTGGAAAAATTAATTGAAGCTTTTCCTGAAACCCAGATAATTACGCTGTGGAGTGAACGCGTACCGCAAAATAAAAATCAAGTTAATACTACAGCAATTAAACTCTTTTTACAAAAAAGTAAAATACAAAAAATTTATCATAAATATTCAATACCAAATTTATCATAAATATTGAAGACCTTTATTCAAGAAGTGGATTGCGTACATTCTTGTATAGATCGATTTTTGCATGACTTGGAAATATATAGTCCATATCATTTAATTAAATTACTGCAAGCTATGAATTTTGATAAAGTGAAACTGAAAATCATACAGATGTGCGCAAACAATTTTAAGTCATTGTCTTCAATTTCTCAACAGATGGGTTATTAGCAAATGCCTTTTAATAAAATAAAAATAATGTTATATGAAAAGGAGTATCCACTTATTTTAAAATACAAAACGTCTTATGAGCAAGTGGAATACCAAACAATAAATTTAATTTAAAAAAGCAATAAGAAAACATTGCCGACATCAAAAAATATATTACAAAGTAAAGTACAAATTCTATCTACCAAAACAGAAGTGACAAAGCAAAAAATAAATGATATAAAAGATTTATTAAAGTACCTGCCAGAGACTGATAGAACTTATTTTCAAGCTCTACTGAAAATTAAATAAAAACAAAAACCAGAAACTAATTTTTTATAAAAAAATATTTTTAGTTCTTAACTGTTAAGATAAAATGTTATTATTATATTTAAGGCTCAAGTTGCTACATTTTTTATTTTTTTAAATTAAATTGTTATCATTAATTAATATTTTAAGTTTACACAAAAAAAAATGCTGTGAAAAAAAGCTGTTATGTTTAATATGTTTTTTAAATTATTTCAACTAAACAATAAAAACAAAAAGTAAGAACAATTCGTTTTTATTTCACATTCTTAGTTTTTTAAATAATTTAGGCCATACGGCAAGACTTTTAAAAGAACTTTTAAGTTTTCAGTTTATTTTATAGTATTCCATATCCAACTCATTTTAGGCCACCTCATAAAATGGAAAAAAAAAGAATCAACAAATGTATGATGTGGACTAAAACGATTCTGTGACCTTCCTTTCTAAAAGTGCTTATAACTTTTAAACTAGCTTCTATAGTGCCCTTGGTCAACCTTGAAATTTAAAAAAAAATGTTCCAATATTATTATTAAAAAATAAAAAAGGGTAATTTTTCGACTAGTTTTTTCATTAAATTTAATCAAACTTTCAAATTCGATTTTCTCGAAACTGACTAAATGGCACGTGGAATAAAATAATTTTCAGCCGACGAATAATATTTCTGATGTATTGGACAGGCTGTTAGGCTTATTTTTTATTTCTAAAGATTTCTCTTTTCGATTGTTGAATTTCAATTTTCCATAGTAAAAGATTTTTTCATCATCCAATAATACATATTGATTTAAATTTGTTAATGATTAAAGGATCAATTGGTGAATATTACAAATACGTAATTTTTATGATTACAATTTTAAAATACGTGATCATTCTTCATTCAACAACTATGTTTCTCATATTAACTCGTAGAAAATTTTAAATGATAAGATTGTTTTAAATAATATTATAACGCTTTTTGGTGGTACTAAGGTATAGGATTAGGAATCTCCAAATTCATTGCGAGGAACACAAAATCTGGGCACCCATCTTGGTATAATAAGAAGCTTCATGCTTTGAATAAAGCGAAAACAACACTTTAGGAAATTTATCACTTCCTGCAGATGAAATTGTCCTTTAACGTAAGGAATTTGTTTTCTGAAGTAAATTTTTATAAAAAAGTCTATATTTTGTCATATAATTCCGTTATGAAATTTTACCCTAACCGTTGGAACTATGCTAACATTATAAACGATCATCTGGGTTTTCAACGTCCATTTTTTAATAATGATTTCGAATCTTTCAATATGGATTTTATGTGTTATTTGTTTGAACAATATTTGAGTCTTTTTTAGAAAAATCTATTATTTCTCAGTAATTTTTTGCACATACATCTAAATTTTTTTTTGCTCCACATTCACGAAACACAATAAAATTTAAAAATTTCGCAGCAGTTTGCTAACATTTACTTGCTTACCGATCGCATTGTATATAATGAGCTAGCTTATACAACGACACCAAATTTTGGATGTCGAGTTTTCGATGCAAAGGCACTTCTCCATAGTAGGAAAGTATAAATAAACTACTGTGTGCAAGCGCGAAATTTTATATGTGACTTTATTTTGGCTATGGCATACATTGATCAACTTTTGGCACCAATCCAATCGATCGGACCAATGGGTTAGACTTCTGGAACTGGACTTTTTTTCCGGGCCAATTTTACATTTTTGCGTATATAAAGAGAAATAATCAACCAATTTCCTTGAAATTTAATATTTAAATCCGGGATTTAGAACAATAACTCTATAAATATTTTCGAAAGATATTAAATTTATATTAATATTTTAGATCTATAAATATTTTGGTAAACCATATTAGGGGTCGATTTCACATTTTTTACCATATATATAGAACGTTTTGTTCGAAATTCTTGAAATTTAATATTTGAGCTCTGGTTATTAGCGGAGCTAACTGGTGAACTTCTCAGCGGATTCGGGTCACAAAGTGAAATCTACTAAGAGCAAAATTTACTAGATATGTTAGTTCTAGTTAGTTTTTTTTAGGTATGTCAGCTAAAAGTTCAGTAACTTCCTTAAAATTGAAAGGAAATGTTCAAAATGCATTTTCATAATTTAATGTAACATTTTTACTAAACTAAGCATTATACCTACGGTAGATTATGTGCCGACCACACCATATTTTATTTATTATTTTTTTTCTAACTATTCAACAAAAAATAATTCTAACATTGAAATGATTGAAATAAACAAAATTGGAAGACGAAAAATTAAAATAACCAAAAAAACGACTAATAATTGGGTAGTGCGCTAAATTTTCTTTATAAAATTCTGCCCTTGAAACTTACTTGGAGAATATATGAATGTAAGTTAAAGAAATTTTGAAAATTTTAGCAAAGCGAAACCTTTTGTATTAAAAATATCATTATAATTTGTGCGAAATGGTTCTGTTTTCATTAATTAAATTGTTTAAAATATTTATACTCGTAAACACTTTTTCACTTGTCTATATTTGAATAAAGTTTATAAGAATTTTAGTTCACGCCAATTATTACTGAAATATATGTTTGCGATTTCTTTTGAAAAAAAAAAAATTTGTTCCAAATACATTTCTAATGACGACATTTGTATATGTATGTATTAACTACTTACTCAGGAATACCGTCTGGTGGCAAAACCACAGATAAAATATTATCAATTAGTTTATACTTCAAAATTCGGTCATTTACAGTTGTAGAAGTTAGTGATGGCGATGCATTTACTTCAACTAACCAAGGTTTTAAGTTATTATCGATAATTCTGAAAATATATTAAAAAAGCTTTAAGTTGACATTTAAAAAAACTTTTGAATTTTAAGTATAAAAAAAGAAGTGCAGTTTTGTAGACTATTAGACTAAACTACAACTATTGTTACGATGTTCAAAATTTTGAACTCGAAAAAAGAAAATTTTTTTATTAGAAAAAGGCAATTTATTAGTTATTAAACAAAATTAAATGTTTCCATTAAACTTTCGATTTCAGCTCTTTGATAATTTTTAAATAAATGGAACTTTGTTTGTTACATCTAATCTCAAATCTATATCAAGAGTTATATACCCCTTTATTATTGTTGTGTAAAAACAAATATTCTGATAATTCCACAATTCATTATAACCGAACGTATTCTGTATACGAGTACAATAGGTAGGTTACGTGATGGCAACAAATTTTGCATATCGAGTTTTCGGTGGGAATGCATTTCTTCATAGTAGGGAAGTGTAAATAAACTTTTTTTTTGCAACCTGTCGGTCTGTCGGTCTGTGGGTCTGTCGGTCTGTGTGTATGCGTGTATCTCAAGTTCGACTTAACCGATTTTAATGAAATTTTATAAGCAAGTTTATTTCGACTATGGCACGGGTTGTTCAACTTTTGGAATATATCAGGCCCCGGGAACTGCAATTTTTAGCGGACCTGTTTTACATTTTTGACCACTTTGAAGAAAATATTCAACCGATTTGCTCGAAATTTTATATCAGCATAATATTATTAATACCATGAACAACAGCAGATCTAAGTGGCTAAACTGAGAGACACCAGAATTAGCCGAAAGAGGCGAAGAAACTGTTGAACGAAAGTCCTGCCAGAGAGATATGATTTTATCCAGACTAAAAAGTTATCAGCGCATCCTAATAGTTTCATTGGAAAAGCGAATTTTAATTATTCGGAAACATAGTGAAATTGGATTCAAGATATTTGGTAGCCATATGTTTAATTATAGGTCAGACATATCTGCGAAATTTATGGAATATTCTAAAACGTTCCAGTAATCATACAACGATAATACAAATTTTGACTATTTCCAAAACAAGTTTAATACTCACATTGCCAAGTAGGTACAGGCGACTTTTTTTTGTTGATTTTGCCTTTACTAAAATCAAAACCGGTATGATATGTAAATTTATGAATTTTATAAACGCATAAAATTATTTGCTAGTCTATTTCTGGTGAAATAATTAATTTTAAGGAGTAAATTTATACAAAAATATAGGTCAAATTTTTAAAAAATAAGTTAATTAATGTCAAACCAACCAAGAAATTTCCATTGTGGATAAAAAATAAAAAAATGTTACAAAATTTAAAGATGGATCAAACTGCTGACAAACTGAAGGGGTTAGGAGAAGACATGGAGAAGCTACTAATTAACTTCAAGAAAGATCCAACTTCAAGGAAGCCAGCAGAATAGATGAACTTAACCAACTATAAGAAGGGCCAAAATAAACCTACAAGACCGAATTACAAGGATGGTACCAGCCTAAACTCAAGCCAATCCAAAGGCTCTAAAATTGTAAAACAAGCCGACGAAGACGATAAAACGAACAGCAATTTAGAAGAAAACCAAAATGAAGAAGCTGAGTAAAAATCAGGCTATTTGATAAATATAGAGGTACAGAAGCAGCATAATAAAATAAAAATGTTATACCGAGTTGTTAATAAGGTAAATGAATTTACGGAACGAGAGGACTATGCCGCAGTATATGTGCAGGACGTTGAAAACTTGACGGCATATTGGAAATATATCATTAGAACAAACGATGACATCATTTCCCATGCCACAAATGAACTAAAAACAGAATACCTAAAAGTTAAGCATTTAAAAAAAGTGGAAAAAAACATCAGGAAATCGTTACAAAAATAAGAGAGCTATTAAATTTTTCACACAAATAGTAACTGGATAACGTTCAAAAATTCTATTATCTCAAAAGTTTACTATAGGCGGAGCCAATGACCTTAACAAAACATTTCTTGATAAATAACGAAAATTACGTCGCTGTTATTAATTGTAGGAATTGACAACAGCCAAGTACAACAACATAAGAATATTGTCCTCAACATGTATGAATAAACTGCTATTTGTGCCATCCAAATAATGAAACATCAGATGAGTTGGAAAACATGCTGGACACTACAAATATATTTCTTTGTGCTATAAAGAACCTACGCATGGAAACTGATTGCTGAGCACTTATATTTCAATTCATATCTAATTCATGATTCTAATCTTACAAAAAATTGATAAGGAAACTTCAAGACTTTACAAACAACAGGCATCAAACCCCAAAAAAATTTTAAAATATGCTACAATTCCTGGAACCAAGGTTTTAGGCTTGAAAAACTTTAGGGGCCCAACAACAAAAAAAATATGAAAAGCGACATGAGTACAACTCAAAGACATGAGTATTACTCAAAAAGGAAGGAAGAAGCTGCAGCAGGAAGGAAGTCAAAAAATGAAGGTAGCAGCAAGAAAGGTGCAGCTTATGTTCAAACTGTTCCAGCAGCAATCAGGTGAGAAATAAGTGCATTTGAAGGATAACAGCGACGAAATGCAACAAAAGTCATCATCCTGCCGCAACAACCAGTAAATAAAGATTAATGGGAGCACCCTGAAAACATAGAGTTAGTTAGATTAGGCTACATGACCACCCGAAGGGTACACCTAGTCCACTAAGGCCCGTTGTGGTGCCGCCGTTGTGACACTCCCTCTCTTACTCACTAGAACCAGCCCGAGCTCCTCAGAAACCAGCCAAAATCCCTAGCATTTACATTCGTTAGGCCCGTAGCCCGCTTAAAAAAGTGGGACCCAAGAAACCTCCGCCTGGAGTTTGCCAAAGCCGGACATGAGCATAGCAGGTGCGTCACCGTTTCCTCTTCCTCCTCTCACAGCAGCTCCTACAGAGATCGTTTGCGGGGCGGCCGTAGTTACATTCGCCCATCTGAGATTGGTACGTTCCACCGCTGCACTGCGCAGCAGCAGCCTGTGAGTGCTTAGAGGCATGCTCAGGTTCTCCTTTTCAGATAGAATTCCGAGGATCGTTCCATGTCTCGGAAGCTCACCCGTCTTGCAATTCACTGAGATCCCAGTGTGTCCGGGAACCCAAACCAAGTTTAACTCGAACTGCCTCGCCATCTCGTTAAGAGACAACCTACAATCTAGGACCGTTCTGGACGTAGAGGTCTCCGACTCCAGCGCCGGTCTCACCACCATCAGAAACGGTCTCACCACCGCGGTGTACAGCTAATAAACCTTGCTTGGTTTCAGGCCCTACCTTTTCCCGACGGCCCTCTTGCACGAGTAAAGCGCAATAGTTGCTTTCTTTACTCACTTCATGATGTTAAGTCTCCAGTTCAGCTTTGAATGCAGAACCAGCCCCAGGAATCTAGCCTCCCAGCTGAAGGATAGGCTCCTCCGAAACCTGCCGATTCCGCCAGGTTTCGGAGGAATCTTATATATCCTACTGAAAATGACTAGCTCCGTCTTTTGAGGGTAAATAGATAGCCCACAGCCGGTCGCCCAGTTCGAAACTAGGCTAACAGCCCTCTATTACAGCCCATTTAGTGCATGGAGGTGCTTTCCATATACACCCCTTTGCGGAGTGCCCCTTCCAACAGAGCGCTCAATGCATGACCCGCCAAAGCTGGCCCTGATGAATCTGTCCGACAGCATTAGTCAGGGAGCCATGAATTGAGAGCTCCGACAGAGCTTGAGTGATCGACCGCGACCTGACATTGTTGAAAGCCCCTTCAATATCTAGGAAGGCAGCCAGTTTGTATTCCCCACGATTAAGTGACCCTTCAATGTAGTGTATCAAGGAGTGTAGGGCCGTTTCCGTTGACCTACCCTTTCGATACGCATGTTGTGCCGGAGACACCCACCTCGGGTTAAGGTTGCTCCTTATGTATGCGTCTATCAATTTTTCTAATATTTTTAGTAGAAGCGATGTTTTAACTAATTGGTCTAAAATCCTTTGGGCAGCTGTAAGAGCTCGTTCCAGTTTTTGGAATGAAGATGACCCTGGCAATATTCCACGATTTTGAAATATGAGCTAGGTCTATACAGCATTCGAAGATAATTTTCAGCCAGGGTGGCATGACCTCCGTCGCATTTTGTGGTTCTGCAGGCACTATATCGTCCGGGTCCGTCGACTTGAAAGGGTGAAAGCTGCGGATAGCCCAAAGAATTCCTCCCTCGTAGACATTTAGAGGAGATTCCCCCAAGGATTCCGGGAAGTGCGCATCCAGAAGCAGCCTCAAGGGCTCCGAAGCGGAGCTGGTCGTCAGCTGCGTCGACTCGGCTCTTAGTCTAGATGCCTCCGCAACCCCGCCAATCCTTCCGCAAAACTATAAAATATATAAAAAAGCGTCAAAACGTCAAGATGGCAAATAATAATAATTGTAACCAATGCAAGAAAAAAATTGATTTGAGAATTAATAGTTTAATTTTATGTGATGCAGACTGCAAAAGATGGCTTTGCGACAATTGTTCCGGCTTGGGCAATGAAGTCGTAAGGGAATACGCACAGGATAATGAAAAATATTGGTTTTGCTTATCATGTAAGTCTTAAAGGAGATCAATTAGGACCTAAGGATCAAATGAATAAAAGATCAAAGTGTGATAGTGAGTCTACAAATAGTCGACTTGATCTTATATTGAAGAATCAAAATTCGCTAGATTCGGAATTGAAAAAATTACAAAGTGAAGTAGGGAGCTGAAAAATTATATAGATTCATTAATTGAAGAAAATTTGAGTTTGCGTAATGAGAATTAAATTTTAAGAAATTATTTTAAATACAGCAAAATTGAATTAGAAAAACTAAGCAGAATCGTAGGAAGAAAGAAATTGAAAAATGTGATATAAGCGATCGATTGGCTAAACAAGAACCCGCTCTGATAATAAAAAATTAGCGCAGGAAGCTGGTATTGTTCTTGAAGACAATGATATTAAATATGTGTACCAGTCTAATCATCAGTCTACAAAATGGGG